TTACAATCTGTTTTGTTAGTCCTCAGTGGTTGTTTTTGTTGTTTTTTTTCTGTAAACCTTTTTTTTTTTTTGTCTTAATCTTTAGGATTTCGGTGGCTTTACACTCTCTTTGGCTTCCAGTGATCATGGGTCAGATGTAGACTTGCTGTAATATTCAATTTTATTGCCTGTCCAGCTTTTCCTGGTGAATTCTTTCCAGTAACACCCTCTGCTCTTCAACATTATTTCTTTGACATCTTTGCTGTTAGTCTACCTCTAGATTAGCTTTCTTTCCACAGCCATATATGAATGACCTGAAATGTTCTTTAAGTATGTCAAAAATAAACCTGTTAGTGGAAATATCTCAGTACCTCTTGGGCAGGTTTCTAAACTTTGTTCTGGCTGTGTGCAAACAGCATAGACGCTTTGGGTGGAAAGGTCACTTGCTAAGCAGAGCACAAGCACAGAAATCACCCTGCTCAGGGAAGGTGATTGGGATGATTGCAAATGATACCAATTAAAGAGGAGGTACTGGCTAACTGATGCCCTTGGCCAAGTGTAACGATTTGAAGAAATATTGTAGTGACCAAACGCTTTGGAGAGGTGAGTTTGCTGCAGGAACGTGATAAAAACTGCTGCCAAAGGCTTGAGAGCAGTTTTAGAGAATGGGAGGTGGACTGGAGGCAGGAGATGAAGACAGAAGGAAAATGGGCTGTAAAATTCAGGAAAGGGACAGTTGAAGTGAAGGCAGCAGTGGGGGGACCCAGCAGGAGCCCTGGGGATGACAGAGTGCCAGGGAAATCCTGCCAGCACACCCAAGGTCAGCCCAACCTCCAGGCCAACTGCCAAGTGCATGGCAGCCCGTGGGAGGCAGGGTTATGGCCATGCAGGGCTTGGAGCAGGTACAGGTGCAGGATGGCAGAGGATGGCACGTCTGTGTAGTCCTTGTGTCCAGGAATAGGTTCTGGGGCGTAGCAGGCAGAATTAGGATGATTATCAAGAGGTGACTGGAAGCTTTTCTCTCCAGGCAGCCCTGGCAGTGCTGGGCAGTGTGTCCATGTTGAGGGTGCACTCTGCTCACTCCTGGGGACAGAACTGGTGCTCAGGGTACCAACTGTGTGTTGGAGTGTTCTGGCTTCAGACTCCTTGTGTGACCTTGCACAGATCAATAGTATCTAAAATCTAGCTGTAGATAGCATCCACCTCCTTGTGTTCATTTCTCGTTCCAAAAATGATCCCTTAATGTTGGCTGATTTCAGTGCACAATGAAGCTCAGTCGGAAAAAGAGGATAAATGTAGGTCTGGACACCTATTAAGGTTTCCAAATGCACCTTGAATAGCAGGCTGGACTGATGCCAGTGAAGATCCTGAAGGTCTTCCCAGACCCTCTGTGCCTTTAGGTCTCCATTATCATCAAACCCCAGCCCACTCAGTGCCCTCCAGCCTCCACCTTGTAAAACAATTATTGCAGAGTATGGGGGCTGGATACACCTGTGGGGTTATTTTGAATGAGAAACCTGGGAGGACAGCAACCCTCAGCAGGTCTGTAATGCGTCATCCACAGAGCATGTGGATGGGGTTTAGCTCCTGGAGGGGACTGTCAAAGATGGGAATTTTCCTTGGAAGATGAGCCTGTGGACCTGTGTGTGCTGGGGAGGAGGGCTGGGAGAGGTCACGCCGAGCCTGTGTGCTGTTAGCCCAGCACCTGCACTCAGTGGGACGTGTCCTCTCCTGCAAAGTGTGGTTGCACAAGGCAGCTCTAGTAGAGCTCAGGAGCTGGAGCTCAGGGGGAGCCCTGCTAGAGGGTGCCCCACGGGGGAGGCTGGGACCCCACCACATCCTCGTTACTGCTGACCTTGGCACGAGCACTGCCTGCTGATGGATCGGCTCCGGAGCTGGATAAGCCCCTGAGGAACAACTGCATTATCTGTTATGTCCCATCAGTGCCTCCCCTGACCCCACCCAGCTCCGAATGCCACAGGCATCAGGGAAGGAATAAATCTCTGTCTGGTACTGAGAGAGAGAAGGGAGCGAGAGCAGGAAAAAGGAGAGATGAAAAATGTCCTTTTTATGACTCTCACAACAAAGCTGGCCACATGATTCGTAGCAAACATTACTCTGGGAAAAGGGAGGGAGAGAATGGGGAGGAATCAGCAAAAAGCAGCGCTGCTTCTCTCCCCTGCAAAGTGCCCAGGGGGAATTATAGAGGGGTATGGGTGACCTTTGAAGGTAAATATCCCAGGAAAAGAAAGGAAAGAGGCCTCAAAGCTTCAGAAAGCTCAGACTTGCTGCAGTGTCTGAGGCTGCCTGATGAAACGCACGCATTGTGAGCAGAAAGCAGAGGCACAGGTGATCTGAGCTAGAGCAGCAGCAGGGCTAGGCAGTGATTAACAAGGCACTAATAGCAACCACAGCTTTTGGGTTTTTGTTTCTTTTTGGGGTGATCTAGGAGATCTCCAGCCTGTGAGCCTAGGGAGAACTCCTGACCCTGGTGTCTCCAGGAGACAGAAGCCTTTAGCAGCACAGGCCAGGGCCTGAAGAGGGGCTGGAGATGAATTGCCAGGGCTGTAGAAGCCCCTTGCCCATTACCCACCAACCCAGCCACATTTCTGTGACAGCTGCTGGGGTATTTGGGTTCCCAGGGAAGCAGCCCAGGGCTGAGGCTGTGGGCTGGCACCAGCTGCAGTTCCCACTGTGCAGAAAGCTGCAACAGGGTCTGCACTGGGGTTCTGGGCTGTCCCAGAGCACCCCATCATCAGGCAGGGTGTCTCCAGCTGCTTCCAGTGCCATGGGAAAGCACCTTTGCTCTCTGGCCTCCTCTGCCAACCTGTCTATGCTGGGGGATGACAGGCAGGTGCTGTTCTTGCTGAAAAACTTCACTGAACCTGAGATATTGACCAGACCTGTTATTTCTAAAAGACGTTAGGTGCTTGGAGTTGTGAAAAAAGTCCATTTGCCACTGTTTTCTTCTGCCCCCAGACAAGCATGTGCCTTAATTGGGAGCCCCTTCCCAGGTAGCAGCAATGAGATCACAGTCAAACAGAGCTTAGAGTCCAAACCCAGCTGAAATCCATTGACAGCCAGGTCATTTTTAGGAAGATGGGTCTGGCTGAACCTGCTGAGCTGTGACCAGGAACCAGCTTGTCCTGGGAATGCTCACCAAAATTGGTCTCTTTAACTTGTCAGTCATAGAAAAGTGTGTTAAACTCCCACTTTTACTGAAATGGCCGTAGCAACTCCTTGATAATCCAGTAATTCAGTTTTATCTATAACGTGCTTTTAAAATAAAGGGATAAATACAATCAGTCTGCATAAAAGGTAGCTATTAAGGAGCAGGCAAGTTGTACAATAATAACTTTCAATTAAAAGCCCTTTCTCACTACTTCTGCCGTTGTGGGGTCTGCAGATTTTCCTTAAAACTTCTGAAGCGTGCCTGGGCTTCTTACAGGAAGACATTTAACCTCCGTTTATGAAGAAATAAAGCAAAATTGATGTTGATTTTGGTCTTCATTGGGGGATACTTTTGCAACATAAAAGCCCTTTTGCCTGCAATTTGCAGAGCAGCCCTGTCACATTGGTGAGGGCTGATACTGATAAAGATAAAGCTTTATAGCTGGGGCATTTGCAGCTAACAGCAAGCTAATGCTACATTTTCATTTTGATGCAATTAATGTTAATGTCTGCTACGAAAATTGTCATTAAATACCATTTTAAAATCCATTCAATTTGCATATGCAAAGCCCATTTACTATCACGTAAAATACATGGTGCCGTTCATCATGTCTTTTCTCTAGAATTTGTAGCTGTTATTTTTCTGGTAGTGATTATTATCTAGCTCTTAAAATAAAATCTAATGTCTGGTCCAGACCTGCACAGAACAAGAAACCTCCCTGGGCTCCAGCAGTAGCAGGACTTTCAGAGGCTTTGAGCACTGGTTTGTGCTGGAGTTGAACGGACAGGGAGAAGCTTCTTTGCCTCTATCCTGCTCCCAATTTCTGCCCAATGCAGGGCAGTGAACTATGTAGGAGAGAGTAGGATTAAGAACCTGAACTGATCTTTAACTCCAAAAGAGAATTTCAACCAGTGCAGACAGGTAGAAATGCTGTTGCTCTGATTTTCTGACCCTGGGATGCAAATTTTCTGTCTGACAGCTCTTCATATTCCTTTAGGTTAAAGGGTTGGCATTGAAGATATTTTTAAGAGGCCTCAAGCCCTTAATACCACAGGTGAAATGAGGCTGTGTTATGGCATGTATGTTAGATTCAGGTAGTTGATTATCTGACACAGATGTGATGCTGTGACTCAGCACATCCAGGTTCAGGACGCTTCTGTTTTGAGGCCTGTTCTAGCTGATATTGGGGAGAGATGTAGGTGTGACGGTAGGAAGGGATAATTTCATTCTGAGGAGGGCCCAAATCTTCCCCCTTACCGTGGTGGCCTGCCAAAAGTCATGTCTGGAGGGACCTTGCAGCCATATCTGAGGATCTCCTTATCTTTGCAGCGGATGTTCATGAACTTGTAGTACAGAGCAAACTCACGGGCTGTGGTGCAGCCTTCATCCACAGCCTTACGGCCCATGGTCACAAAGTCTCGGGGCATGACCCTTTTATGAGGCTTGGCCTTCACTGAATCCCAGTGGCCTATGGCTGGAGATGGAAGGAAATAGAGAAAAAGATGAGGCGTCTCAGTTAGCTCCTGTTTGGGAAAGCAGATTGAAGTGTGTGCACCGTGCATGGGGGTCTTGTGCAGCTAAGGTTCCTTTTGTCAGCTTCATAACCTGTCCCACTGCATCCCATATCCCATCTGAATTGGATGTCTTCTCACCCTCCTCCCTGGCTTGCTCAGGACATCTGGTTTGACAGGGAAATTGTCCCTGAGAGCACAAAGCAGGAGCCCTGACAAAGTTATGACTGCCCTTTGCAGATGCACCCTCCCTGCCTGTGTGAGCCTCTGAAAGTTACCTATGTGACAGAATCTTCACTGGTCACCAAGCAATTGGGGTGATATTAATGAAAGTAGGTAAATGTTGGAGTTCTGCACTTCCAGCTTGATGAGAAGTACTGAAGAGCTGTGGGAAGGAGACTTCCTACTAGCATTAGGACTTTGTTACAGGTCTGTGTTTTAGGGGCAGTGTCCTACCTTCAGGGACTCCTCCATCTCTCCTGTGCATGTACATCCCATAGGTAAAATCAGGCCCTGGAAGGGAGTAGCAGTTTCTCATCGGCTTCCCCAGTTCTGGCTGCAGAAAAGGGAACAGAGAAGCATCAAGGTAAGATAAAGCCCCTGAAAAGAGAAGTTTGTAACAGAGCATGGCCACAAGTACCAGGAGTGTCCATTTGGCAGGGGCTTGAAAACCACTGCACAAGTAAGTGCCACAGTGCAAAAAGGAGCTGAAACCTAAAGGATGCTGAATTTCACACAAGTTTGGTTTTGAGTTTTAAAGAGACCTAGCCTTGCTGGAAATAGGGATCCTGATTCAATAGATATGGACTTGAAATCTTCTTGTTAGGTTAATCTCTCCTTTGGTGGGGATGCCCAGCTGTGGTGTCTGCTGGGGAGACAGCAGCTAGTCTTAATTTTACTTTGAGTTATTTCATTTCCAAGTTATGCATCCTCCCAGAAAACTGACATAAACTTCCCCAGGCACAATCACATGGCTGCTTCTGCCTGGGAATAATCAAGACACAAGGCATGCTGCAGGAGGAGGATAAGGGGGAATGAAGAAGGGAGAGCAGAGCCTGGGGTTTATAGCACAGAAAAGAACTTCAGCTCAATATCATCATTTCTATTTAGTTTTCAAATGAACTCTTCCCCAGCTCATGTGTGCTCTAGCCCAGTGGTGTCTGTGGGATTAACTGACCTCCCCTCACTCCTTTGTCTCCACCTTCCCATCTCCATGGTGAAGTCACTGCAGGATGTGTGTCTTGGAACCTCATTGCTGCTTGAGAGGGAGGCAGCAGAGGAGGGAAGGAGGGAGAGCCTGGCACAGGGAAAGCTGGAGCAGAGTCCCCAGGAGCCCTGAGGGCAGGATCTGGGTGCTTTGGGACAGGCTGTTTTCCATGGGAAGGGTGTTAAAAGAGCTGGGATGTTGTAGGTGTTGGCAGGCCTTGCTGGGAGAATCAAAGTGCTGAAATACCACTGGTGCTTCTCATGGGTGAACCACTGAACGCTGACATTGAGATGGCCATTATCACTCTGCAGAGTGAACACTCTGGCTCAGGAACCACTGAATCTGCGGCCCTTTCTGCAGAGACACAGTGAAAAAGAAACTGCAAATGAACCACCTCCAGCTTGCCACCACAGCAGGCTGAGGCTGTACAGGTTGATAAGGGACCCAGCTCACTGGAGCTGCTTTTGTAGGGGCATCATCCGCACCAAAATTTTCCTTTTACTCCCTGTCAGCACTGTGCAAACCCTGGCCAGGGCCCCAGAGCAGCCATGGCTCCCTTGTACACTGCCAGCATGGTGGCTGCTTTCCAGTGTGTGTTCTTTTGCACCACCCTCAGCTCAGACAAAACTCTCACTGAGCCCGTTTTGCCTGGAGAGTGAGAGTTAATAACATCTATCCAGAACAGGCACCTTTCCAGAGGCCTCTGTATTCAGGTCTCTAAAATGTGCTTGTAATTCCTCAGACTTTTACACCTGTGATGCTCTAAAGGAGGTATGGCATTTCCATGGCTCTCAGGAGCACAAATTCACCAGAAAATGAGCTTTACGGACCTGCCCTGTGCGAAACTACAGATCCTTTGTTGCAAAGAGCCCTTTCTAAAAGCCAGGACACAGCGATGTGATGCAACCACGGCTGCATTTCCCCACCTGCCTCCTGTGAGCCTGGAGCACAGGGAGGGACTGTCCCTGTCCAGCACTGAGCACGAGGGGACTGAGTGGGGTTTAGTGCCACCATGGCTGTGGTGCCACCAGGCAGTGACAAACCACATCTGCACTCTGTGTGCTGGGAGCGCGCACAAAGCACTGCCAGAGACAATAAAGCAGCTTTCATTGCTAATCTGCTCCTCCTATATTTACAGCTATTTTTAGATTAGTTGTCACTGATGTACAAGGGAAATGGTGTAATGTTCCTCAGAAACATGAGAAAAGGCGTTTTCCTGGGATCATGTTCTGGTAATGGATCAGGGAAGTGAGGTCAGAAATCTCCTATGGTGGCAAAGGTGTGCCAGATGGGAGAAAAATCACAGAAACTGCAGGAAAGGAGAGAGGTTTGTAACCTGCAGCAAAGCTGCTTCCAGACCTCGAGTGCAAAATTCTGTAGAATGGAAGAAATTACAGGATTTAAAGAGTCCCTTCTGCAGAGCACCTGAAGTTAACACAGTTGGGTGTTTACTCTATCACAAAAAGAGTGCATGCTGTTTCCTTTTATGATCAGGTGGCATTTTACAGTCACTTTGCACTGAATAAATAATGCTGAAGGTGCTGGATAATTAATTAAAAAAAAAAAAATCTGGTCCAATATGTTGAACATGGAGAGAATCTGTGCCTGAAGAAAAATCAATGAACTCAGAGAACTCTGGTTGCCTGCCAACATCTTTTACCTACAAAAGCAAAGAAGGAGAAGGATATAGCAGGAATGAATTTTGCTCAGTGTAATCCAAGATTACAGCCTTTCTCATTCATGAATTAGCAAAATGATGTTTTCAGCTCTTGGGCTGGTTTAATTTGTTTGTCCTGGGGCATTATAGGTGTGCTCTGTCATAAAGCAGTGGGGAAATTGAGCCAAAGTTGATGCAGAAGGTCTTTTTTTTTCCCTTTCTCCCCCAATTCCAGCACCATTCCCTATGTTCAGGTTTAGCCTGTCACAAAGCTGCTTGGCTGGAATACCAATCTGTCTGACAGCTGTGGCCATCAGCAGACAACTTCATTAAACCTCATTAAGATGTCATTTCTCTGCCTTATTTCCCACCTCTTGGCTCTAATTAAAACCGTCTCTCTCTGCATCCCAGGTGGTCCTAATTTTCTCTGGGCACCTTCTGCAAGTTTTCTCCCTTTACGACCTCAGTGAGGAAAATCCAGCATCCTAAATGCTGTTTATCCAGCCACTTTGGAAAAGAGAGCTCTAGACCTTTTCCTGAAGCATTCCCAGAGCACCCAGTGGAGATCAACACCTCTCAGGGCTGCAAGGGATGTGCACTGAGGCTTTGTTTGCTCTCTCAAACTGTCTTTAAGGGCTTGGCTGATACATCCTTTCTTTTTGGATGTGATAACTTCTCTGTTTGAACCAGGTGTGTCTGGGCTGGGTTTTGAGGGTGCCATGCTCCCACTGGTCACGGTGCAGTGCTGGTGGTGTTTGATCAGTGGGGATACCTTGGTTGGCTGTGAGTGCTGTTGGGTGTACTGACTTATCCCCAGCCTTTGCCAGGTAGTTTCTGATCTGCGCAGCCCTGGGCTGTATTTGAGTGTTGGAAAATGTGGAAAATGTATTTGAATGTTGTATTTTAAGTGTTGTAAAATGGTTGCTGTGAAGGAAGAGGAAGGCTCTCAAAGAGGTCTGTTTCTAGAGGTGAGGCATTGCAAAGGTTGAAGGAAGTGCAAAATTTTTAAGGATTCCAGGTTTTATTGCAAGACTTATTTGTGTTCCATCCCCTGGTGCTGATGGCCCAGCAACACACATTGCATCAATTTCCTAAAGATGACTGAGAGAGGTGGGAGATGTGTCCATGCAGAGAGGTACAGAAAGAGACCGAGATGTGGATTTTTAATCTCTGCCTCTGCAGCCTTTCCCTGGGTGCTGGGCAAATCCATGAATCCTCTGCGCTCCATCTCATCCAGGGCTGCCCCATCCTCTCCTCTCTGGCTCTGCCCTGTGGACACCTGCAAACTCTGTGCCATTTTCAGCCTGCCAGGCCCTGCTTCCTTCCCACCTTCTGTTTCCCTTTTCATTACACCCCCTTGTACAGTAAAGCCTCCCGTCACGCTACCATTACTATTATTATTGCAGATTTACTGCACTTGCAGAGTGAAGTGATTGCAGTGACAAGGCCCAGCATTTTTCCCTCCTTCCCCCCGCGACAGCTTGAAATCAAGCCCTTCATTTGCATTTACATGATCTTGCTGTGCAGCTTATGAGATCGGGAGATTTATTTGCTACTTAGCTTGATGTTTGATTACACTCTAAGAAGGCAGTGAGCTACAAAGTGCAGGGATACATCAGAACTGAGCTACTGAAAGCCTCTGGGGGACAGTAACTCAACATCAGGTTTAGGTAGATGAGAAAGGGAATGTTCAGTGTTTTGAGAAAGGCAAATTTGATGAGATTTTTTTTTTTTTAAGGTGGAAGGAAAAACTTTCTCACAAAAAAAAAAACAAAAAAGGGAAAACAAAACCAAAAATGTTGTTCTAAAAACACACATGAAAAATGTGGGTTTCTCAGTACAGAAGAAATCCTAGCAGGGGCTGGTGGCTGCTGGGCTGCCTGGCACCAACTGCTTGTAACTTCCACTCCCAAGAAGATTATTAATAATAAGTTGGCAGTTGTCTTCAAAGGTTTTCATAAGCGTTAAATGTCAAAGCCAAAGGAAGTTTTGCCTGATGGACCACCACAAGATCTGTCCCGAATTTATTAAGCTTCAAAGCATGCCACTGAGCATTAATACTCTCTAATAAAGGGGAAACTGAGGCAGGAAATCAGTGTGCCCATGCAGGACAGCAAAGGGAACGGAATTTGGACTGGGGGGAGAAGAGAGTGAGACCAAATCATCCTAGTCTTCTATAGCAGTGTAAGAATCTTTCTGTTTCCAGAGAAAAGGGTGATGGTTGGGCAAACTGTTGCCCTTGGAGTCAGAAATGGCAAAGCTCAAGGATCTTGGTGTGAGTTTAACTCCTTTCATTACAAATACTCCAGACAGGGCAGCCACACTGCTAACCCAGAGTGCATCTATAAATGCAATCTTCACTAACCTGTGCCCCTGACTGACCTGCCCTGGGAGCTGCAGCCTTATTAAACACCAGCCTTTGAGTGCTGGGTGTGGATTTGAATGATTTTCCCCTCTAGAATCCGCATTTTGTGTAAGGCTGGCAGCAGAGGTGTCCCCCTTGCTGGGTTAGAGAGGGCAGATAGCACTTCCAGCCCAGGTTCTCCCTACACAACCCCTGGCACTAGCCCCTTGCCATTTTCTTGCTCCCAACAGGGCTGGAACACCAACAGGCAAGGGTCACACACAACCTTGCACAGAAACCCCAGTCCAGGGAAGCAGCCACTGTCTGATACAGTCACTATGCATTCCA